CTGCTGCCTCCCACCAGCTGCCAAAACAGGCCCTGCCTCTGTCAGGGAGCCCTGGGGCCGGGCAGCCCACCCTCCCTTTCACAGGGGAGCGTGCCGGGTGCGCCTGGCTGCTGCCGCCCTGTTAGCGACGACTGCGCGTAGATTCCCCGCTGCTTTGCTCGCTTAGCCAGAGCCACGAAGGAAGCCACGCAATACCCAGCCTCGGGGCACTGCCCGGGGTGTGCCGAGCAATACCCTGCCCGTGCGGGCAACGGCCGCCGCTGCCGCGCATGACGCCACCGCACTTTGCTGAGATGCTGCTTTCATATGATCAGGTACAGATCCTTTCTACCATTTTTGTTGCTGGATATTCTACTACACTCTGATTTTTTTATTCTATCAGTTTGTATAAAAAACCAAACGGAAGCTCCTGTCGGGTGTTACGTTCCGCGTGTTGTGGTACGTGGTCTGTAGTTTGCTACTTCTCTGTACGAAGTGCCAGTCCTGCCGATTACCTCCAGCCCAGGGAAAGCTCCTGTTCACTCGCTGTATTGTGGTAAGACGATGTTACAGAAATGCATTTATCTACCCAAAGGCCTAGCTCCACTGGGCACTTTATTTTTAAAAAACCTGTTTTGTTGAATGAGATGTGAAGATACTCAAATAAAGGCAGAATGACGGCGTTTGACACTCCCAGCCTTTGCTTCGGCAGCCTGGGCACGCAGGGGCAGCAGCTCCTCTCCCCTCCCCGCGGCTCAGCCTGCACCCAGGGGAGGGACTGGCACGGACAACAACAATTCCCACTCCCGGAGTGGGACGCAGGATGTAGAGAGCCGGGGCTGGATGCAGCTCAGGCTGCCGCTATGCTCGTACACACACGAGCGTGTCCTGCTCTCCCCACTGTGCACCTCTGTCACCTCCCAGCCCTGAGCCAGTGCCGATTCGGGCAGCCAGTGGCACCAGGACGCTCACAAGCCCCGCCGGGCTCCAGGGTGCCAACCACCGTGGAGGGGACAGCTGGGCTGAGCCCGCAGCAGGCAGAAGACAGGCAGGGAATGTGCCACTGCCAGCTGCTCCCTAGGGTAACAGAGGCCAGCAAGCTGTGGGAGGATGTTCGCTACCACTTTATTATGACAAAGGCTACAAGCCACATTATTTTTAAAGTGCATTATTATTCACCATCAACAAACCACAGACACAAGCCTGGCATAGTGCAGATATGGCCAAGGTGGCAGAGGACGCTGAGCGGAGAACAGGGCCGGGGCGAGCTGGGCGGACGGAGGCAGCAGGAGGCGATGGGGAGCAGGGCTCAGGCAGGTGCCAGGGTACAAGCACTGCTCCAGACAGACCTAACCCCCTCGGGAGCCCCAGGAAGGCATCACGGACAGCAGGAAGGACGGACAGACAGCCTTGCCTGCCGCAGCGGGAGGCTGGGAAAGGCATGGCATGGGCCATGCCAGGGAGGGCTCAGGCTCCCGGTGCAGACCCAGCACCTCTCTGCGTTCACGGACCATGCAGCTGGGACAGGGCTATGCCTTGGGAGCCCCGTGGTTCCCCAAACAAGGGCAGCAAGGGCCCCAGCACTGCTCACCTCTGTGCGGTGCTCCCAGACAAACACCACCCATCCTCCACGCCACTGCCCCCAAAGGGCTCCCTGCCAGAGGAACTGTCTCAGTGCCATCCCAGGAGCCCAGCGCTGGAAGCCCGCAGCTCCAGGCCCTCATCACCCCTGGACAGCCCGGTGCGGTGCCCGGCAGAGCACCCTCCGGCACTCAGCATCAGGCCGGGCAGTTGGCTGGCAGCACACGTGGCTCCTACGGGCAGCCCCATCCTTCAGGTCACCCCAGGCCCTGCTCAGGGAAGAGCCCCCCATCCAGACTGCCCCATCCCAGGCCTGGAGCAACATCCCTGCAAAGGTGCTGCTGAGGGATGACAGCCGTCTGGGACGTCTGTGGTCCCTCCACCCCCAGAGCAGTACATGGGGCCCAGCTGCCGGCTGAGGATTAAAGTGCTTTTTTCTTTTTCTTTTTGCATGGGGTGCTAAGGCCAAACCTCGCCCTGCCAGAGAACATTTCCCCTTTATCCCCAGGGTCAGGGTGTCAGAAACCTCTAGGCAGGTTTCTGAGGAGCCTTCCCCAAGTCACCGCAGGCAGCGGCAGGTCTGCTGCACCCTGTTCAAACCTCGGCACAGCAACATTCAAAAAGTCCTGTGCAACGAAAGGCTCCTGCCCTGAGGGGCCCTGCTCTGCTGGCTCCCGAAGGGCCCAACACCTCCCACAGAGCCTGTGCTGCCTGAAGGGGACTGTCCTGACAGAGGACGGTGGAGGAACCAGCTCTGGTACCGCATGGTCAGGAAGCGCCCGCCTGGGTGCAGGGAGGCCAAGGCCCGTCTCCCGCTCTGGGTGCAGCCCCAGCCGGTCAGCGGGAGTTCCCCCCCGCAGCCCCAAAGCTGCCCAGCAGAAGCATCCACGTGCCAGCCCCAGAAGGGCCAGGCAGCAGAGCAGCTGGGGACGGGCACAAGCCAAGCAGCCACCCCACAGTCACGAGAAAACGCCACAGGCTGGAAGGGCTTCCTCAGGCTCACGGGTTCCTGCTGCCTCTGGACCCCTCTTGTGCTTGCAGCAGCACCCCAACATTGTCTCTAACCAGCTCAGTGGCGTCCCTACCCAAAGTGACTTTTTGCATAGTGCTGCTCTCCCCATCCCCAAGCATCGTGCCACACCAGCCACGGCTAGGCGGTCTGTCCCCCAGCCAGCTGGGGCAGAGGGGAAACAGTGCCTCAGTGACAGCAGCTTGGGGCCGGGGGACCGCTGCAGCCATGTCTCTATGGCTTCCAACCCTGTCGCTGTCCTTGTCAACAGGACAAAACAGGCAGCAAGAGATAGCACTCGAGACCAGAGCTTATCCCAGGGGACAGGGCTGGAGGGGAGCACCAGCCCCTCTGCCCACTAGCTGTGCCCCGGGTCCCAGTGCAGGTGGTACCTCACTCGCTCTCGTTCTTCCAGCAGTCGGCCGAAAATGGAAAGAGACTGAGAATTCACAGCTGTCCCTCCTCCTGCACCACAGCTTTTCTTCAAGCCCCAGCTCCCCTCCAGCCCGGGAGACCGCCCGCAGAGCAAGGCTCCAGAGCCTGCCCCAGCCCAGGGCTGGCAAAGCTGCCACCCTGGCAGCAGCCGCTCACACTCCTGCCCCGAGTCTCTCTCTGGGCGTCTGGATGGAAAGTAGCACTTGTGACACACACAGCAACGGGAACAGCAGCAGTCATGTCAGCGTGAAGCAAACATGGCATTGCTTACAAGGTGCAGCAGCAAGGTGTGCTGGGGACCGCCCCGCACAGAGCCTAGATGATATCTGTCTCCCTCTCTATGCCGACATACTTCAGGGCGTCTGCCTGGCTGTACCTACAAGATAGGAAAGTCACAGCTGCTGTAATGACCTCCCCCGCTCCCCACAAACGTGCACACAGAAAGTGGGGTCAACCCTGCACCCCAGTCCCCAGCCAGCCACTCCCCAAGGTACCTGTAATCAAAGAAGAGCTCCTCTCCTGCCTGGATGGCCCTCTTGGCAAAGATCCCTATCCGGTGGTCTCCGTTCACCATCACAACTGCAACCAGAGAGATGACATCAGAGACGCGCAGCTCCAGCTCAGGCCAGGAGGTCTCGCAGCACTTTTGCCCTGCCCGGCCAGCTGCCAGTCCCCAGGGCCACGGTACCCAAGCTCCTGCCCGGCAGGAATGGGGCGCTCCCCGGGGAGCTCCCAGCTGCTCTCTAGCAGCAATCTCTCCTTGCAAGGCCAGGGCCACCACAGAGCTGAGCTGAGCCCTCACCAGCAGCAATGTGATTTGCTGCAGAGAGGAGGAGACTTTGTCCGGGTCTTTGAAGTTCTGCTGCTCGCACAGACTCAGGGCGACTTGGGACCCTGGAGAATCCACTGCAATCCCGGAGCTGAGCAGGACCCCAGAGAACCTTCCCCCACCAAGATCTGACTGGGCAGGGATATCTCACCTTTGGCATAGCAATTGGGGTTCACCGAGTGATTGGCAAAGCGGATTTTATTTCCTTTGCGGGTGGCGTCAACAACAAAATCTATTAAGGAAAAAAAAAAAAGAAAACTGTAGTGTAAAGACAGGCCTGCTGCTCAGGCGACAGACGGGCTGAGACTGCTCACCAGCCATCAGCACCCTGCCAGGAAGCCCAAGCCTCCTCCACCCCTCGAAGCCCCGGGCGAGTTACCGTTGTTGAGGTTGAAGAGGAAGCTGGACATGTACTTATCATAGACCTTCCCTCGCCGGTCAGCCTCATCCTGTGAAATAAGCTGGAGAAGGAGAATGCCTTGAGAGACTCAGCACCTGAGGGCACAGCAAGGACCACTGCGAGGAGCAGTGCTCGCCTACCTCCTAGAAACATCCTCCCGCCCTCCCACCCCACGGGCAGGAGCTCACCAGGGCTCCTAGGGAGGGAGCAGAGACAAGAGCTGGGCTCCCAGGGAACAGCACATACACAACATGCTCCTCCACGGTGGAGGGCCTAGAGGTACTGAGATGGGTCCCAAAATGGTGCAAGATTCAATCTAAACCTGGTCAGAGCCATGGCCACAGCCGAGCTGGGGAAGGCACGCTGTCCCCGCTGGACCAGCGGCTGAAGGAAGCACTGCCACTAAACGCAGCCTCCCGAACACGCGGCACAGCAGCCCCAGCACGGGCAGAAGCACTGACCTCACCACAGTACTCAGAGATGAACTCATTCTTCTGCACAGATTCCTTGATGAAAGTCCCCCAGCCGGCGACATCCGACGGTGCCAGCAACAAATGCTGGAGCCAAGGTGAAAAGGAAACGGTTACGGTCGGCAGGCCAACCACCTCCCAGCACACAGAGATCACACCCCGTGCATCAGGCAGACCAGAAAGCAACAGTGAAGAGCTCTCCACCTCCCGGCACAGTTGCACACGCCGGGGTTAGGGCAGTGCCCAGGAACAGCCATGCCGTGCTGGCTGCCATGCTCGGAGTCCCAACATCACGGGGCTGAGTAACTCCGAGGAGCAAAGGGAGCCAGAGTCTACCCAGCATCCCCTGGTTTAAGGTGACACATGGCTCCCTACAGACTTACAGGTCGTAGCATCATTAGGCTGGAGTTGCACATTACTTGACACCCATTAATTTGCATCTTTCTCTGAATTTTGGTCTTTTTTACGTGCAGTCCCTTGCCCTGACCAGCAGAATTCAAGACCTAACCTTTCTCTGGAGTCATTTTTTACACCCCGTTGCTCTCACCCTTCCTCACGTAACTCCTGTCTCCTGATTTTCACATCCATAATCCATACTCCAGATTAAGTGCTACAGAAGCCTGGGGCAGAGCAGCTTCTCTTCCAGACCTCCTCACTCAGACAGCTACGGGTGGCTCGCACACCCTCTCCCACGCAGCAGGAGCTCTCTTTATCAGCTCTACCCAGAGGCAGCCCCCTGCCAGCAGTCCAGAGCCATGCTGCTGTCAATACCTTTTTGAGACCTCGCTGGATGCTGCAGTTCTTGCAGGAGACCACCTTGCAGTCCCAGTGCTCTGAAGCCCCACAGGTCAGGCAGAGGTCCGGATCGCACTCCCGCACGGCCAGGTAGCACGGGCATTGCTTGGTGTTGCACTGGGTTTTACAGCGACAGCCTGGGAAGCGGTTCTGACCTGCAGCAACACAGCCCCCAGTTTTGCACCACGAGGTTTTTCAGCCCTGCAGGAACACAGAAGCTCCTCCCGAGCCGGGTCTCACCCTGACAGGCCCCGGGCAGGTACGGAACTAAACCTGTCCGTGACCAAGGGCCACGCTGCCTGCCCACGACCCTGCTAACGTAAGGAAGGTACCTTTGTGCTAATAAAGAGCTCTACACCCATTCTGCTCTGGGCAGCAGAGACAGGAGCCCCCAGAACGCCTCTTCCTGCCCCCCCCGGAGTCACCAGGACAGCGCTCACTAAGAACACAACGAGACAAGGTGAACGTGAGGCAGCCTGGGCACCCAGGAGCTGGAAGCAAATCAAAGAAACACTCTGCGTGCGCGGGAGCTTTGAGCACCACTCACACTTAGCAGACCACAGACCACGCACAGGGTCCTTCCTATCTGCATGGCTGAAGATGCTGATCTGCCTCTTGGGACTAATTATGTGCAGTTTGAAAATAAACAACTCGGATAATATAAACATAACAGGTCAGTACAGAGACTCTTGGAGCCTGAGTTGGCTCCCTGTCACCCTGTAGTCCTTCCAGCCCCAAGCTGTGTCATAACCCTTAACGAATCCACCCTCAGAAGCCCCACCGATGTGGGCAAGTGTGGTTATCTCCATTGCAGAGCTGGGAATGGAAGCCCAGAGAGGAAAAATAACCATGGCAGAGCAGTGACCCATCTCCCACCCTAACTGCTGGCCACACATCCTGCTCTCAGGGAACCAGCAGCATCACCCGCGGGTTGTTGATGCTGGATACAGACATGCGGGTGAGCATTCTCTAACAAGAGCACGTATCTCAGCTGCTGAGAGTCACAGGGCAGCATGGAACGGTTTCCCCTTGGACTTCAGCAGACTGCTAATCTAACTGCTGCAGATGGATAGAGCAGTGAATGCCAGAACCAAGCAGGCCTCCAGCAAGTCCCAGCTCTGCACCCTCCCTCTGGTCTGTGTCAGGAGAGCTGGCTGCTTTCCTGCCTGATAGCCCAAGGTTTCTCCTTACAGTCAGGGTTGCACTGGCAGAACTTCTCACAGAAATTCTGAGTCATGATGCAAGGGCAGGAGCTGTCACAGGGATGCTCGGGGTGGTCACAGGGCTGGTAGTTGTACACCTGGGTAGGTGAATTATCTAGAACAAGAGGAGAAATGCCCGGATTAGAAGCTGCACATTGCAGGAATGTTTGAAAGCAGCACACCCAGGGCTCTGGAGCAAGGAAGGTGCAAGCTCCCCGTTTGCCGGCAGAGGGCAGGGAGCCCAGCAGCACCCAGCACACAGCTCCCGCAGACACATGGCTGTGATTACCGACACATGGCACACGTCTGCTCTGCCCTGAACAGCCCGTTTTACAGCGGGGCTGCACGCCAAACCTCAGCCTCCCCTCTGGCTGGAGCAAGACCACACCGCACGTACTGCCTCAGCGAGAGCACTGGCACAGCGGCAATTCCCAGGGCACAGCCGCAGCAGGGCCGGCCAGTGGCACCCCAAGGAGCCCAGCTGGGGGGAGACGCTCCCCCTCTGCGCTGCTGCAGCTGCAGGGCTGGAGAGCAGGACACGGCCGTCCTGCTGCACGAGTCAGAGCCGGCGAACTCCATCCCGCGGGCGAGTGGCCTTGCAAACCTCGCGTGACACAGCCACAGCAAACGCTACCTTTCTTCAGCTGAATCTTCCTGCAGTGCGCAGCCCACAGCCTGGAAGAGAAACAGAGAGGGTCTGAGGGGACGCACAAGCCTCCGTCAGGAAGAGCTGGCCACAACTGCTCGGCACCACCGGTCAGCACGGCAGCAGGAGACAGGCGATTCCAGCGAGGCTGTCTGGCAGCTTCATGCATTAATAACCATCAGCCAGCCGTGAAGCAGAGAAAGATGAGAACGACGCAGCTACAGCATTAGTTATTTAAGGCAAATGCTAGATCCAGATTAATACTGGACACACTGGGATCAGCACACAAAAAGTAGGTTATAAGTCAGGGAGCTGAGGCTAAGGCTGCTGTTAGGACAGCGGTACCGTCCTTCCCGCAGCAGTGCAGCACTACAGCCAGGCGCCGTGCTGCCCTCTCCTCCGGGGCTGAGCCCAAGGCCTCAGAGCCCCCCAGCCAGGGCAGCAGCACTGGGAAGAGAAGCCAGGGGCCAGCACCCAGCCAGCAGCACCAGCAGCCCTGTGTGACAGCGGGATGTGTGCACAGATGGGAGCCAGATGGGGATTACCAGGAATGCTTTGGCACAAAAAGCAGTGGATCTGGTTGCATTTTAAGAACAAAACAAGCTTGTCCAACACTTGCCTGTGCTTCCTTTTCTTCTTCTGGGATGGATTCATTAATTCATTTGTTGGCAGTTTTGTTATAAGTGATTCTTTCACTGCAAACTGAAAGACCTACCAAAGAACAGAAGCAAAAAGAAGAACAAAGTTCAGTGTACTCAAGTTGTTTTTATCTAAAACATAAATAGAGAGAGTGTAAGCAAGCACGCACAGGGGGGCTCCCAGTCCCTGGACCAGTAAGCAGGCAGTTCTGCCCCCAGTTTCACTGACCACGGCTGTCATTGCTTCTCTTGCCTGGGAAACAAGAGCGCCCGCCCTGCCAGTGCGCCCGGCCTCAGACAAGGCACTCTGGAGGAAGCTAAGAGCACTGGGCATGCACAGGGCTCGTTCTGCAGACAGCAGCAGTACTGCAAAATAACAACACTGAAGTCCACAAAGTGTTGATGCAACACATTCCTTGAGGCGGTTTGTGGCAGAGAAGAAAAAACAGCAAGCAAGCAGCGGCCAAGGCTTCCCTCCTGCCGCTGGGCCAGGCGCTGCAGTGCCTGCCCTCTCCAGGCACCCACCTGCTTGCACGTCTTTGTTCCCAGCAGCCTGGCAATCGAGCACCGTCCACTCGACGGGCTCCTGCGGCGTCTCCACCGCAAACAGCTGGGAGGAGGCCGGGCTCAGCTTCTGCTTGGTGGGGGTCTGGCAGCGGGAGTTTGCCTCTGGCAGGAAAGGCAGACGTTAGGCCAAACACAACATGGGAGAACGCACCCTCGCCATCACAGCTCCCAAGGGCAGCGGTCCCCCCGAAGTGCCCAACACCTTGCCTCGCCCCTGCCCCTACACCTCCTGGCAGCCCTGCACCATGCTCCCTGCCGCACGCTCGGGCCTCTAGTCAGGCAGCCCAGCACCGGTTGGGACGGTGGCGCTGGCCCCCCCGCTGCCAGGGAGGCCCAGAGCCACCAGGCCCCCTTCCCCGTCCAGGGCTGGCCCAGGACGGAGCCCCCTGACTACAGCAGCAGCACCAGAGAGGCCCGAGGATGAGGAAGCCACTCTCTCCTCTCCCGCCCGAGACGGGACCCAGACGTACAGGAGTCCTCTGCCCCCCCAGGATCTCATTCTGCCCCAGCCACCACCACTTCCCCTGGTGTGGCAGGAGGAGCTCGGTGCTCCTCTGCGGCACCGAGGAAGCGCTCACCCCTGGCAGGTCCACAGACAAGCCCCCTGCCTCAACATCTCCCTGGCCACTGCTCTGTGCCGCAGCAGGGCAAGCACACAGACCAGCGCTGCCCGGGCACTGCCCTGCCAGGGGCACTTTCCTCGTGCACAGCCGAGCAAGGTGCTCAAGAGCTGAAGTCTCTTTGCTTTGCAGGTCCCAGCAAAGCTCTTGCTTTGCCTGGCAACATTCCTCCTTCCTGGGAGAGGACAATGAATCCCACAGCAGCAAGGACAGGGGCTGGTGTCCCTCATGTTTGTTTAAGCCCAGCTGTAAACACCGACTCTGTTTGCTAACTCAGAATTCCACACCCTTGTACGGGACGCAGAGGCAAGACAGGGAGAGCCCCAGCTGCGAGGTGCTGCCTGTCCTTACTGCTCATACCGCCAGAGGGGAGAGGGGTGTCTCTGGGGTGGCATCGTACCCGAGGAGCTAGAGGCCCACTCGTTGCCCGTGTCTCGGTCGCTATCGCCCTCCCTCGTCTCAGCGACGGCAGAAGCCAGGGTGTTTGAGCAAGAAGCACCCACCACGTGGTGCCTCCGGCGGCGCCGGCCTGAGCACTTGGACCTGGGGTTGTGCAGCGCAGCAAACTCCTTGGCTCCTTCCTGCAACCAGAGCAGAAGACAAGGCACGTGGCAGATGACCAGGGAACACAGAAAGGCTTTTCCATAGGCCCTGGGACAAGCCCTGCCACCACCAAGAGAAGGTGGAAGACCCGCCATGCGTGGTCACTTCAGCGAGTGCCAAGGCCCTGCCAGCTGCCCGCACTGCGCATTCCCACTTCGCTTCCTTCAGCACCGCTGCCCGGTCGGAAGAGGCTCCCTGGCCCTGGCCCTCCACTCCGCTCCCCTGCCTCTTGCCCTGGCAAAGAAATTCTCCTGGCCTCTTCCTCTGCTCCAGCCCCGCAGCTCCCCGGGACACCCTGTATCTGAGCCAGCTGACCAGCTCCGACACCACCAGGCGCAC